GCCCCGGCCGCACCGGCCCGCCCGGGGCCCGCGCCAGGTCGGCGTGCAGCTGCTGCAGCAGCCCGCGGCAGCGCAGGTTGCGGCGCGGCTCCCAGGTGTTGGCGGAGGAGGGGTAACCGCGCCACTTCACCAGGTAGAACTCCTCGTCCTGTTGGGGAGGGGGAGAACGGGGGGTTGGGGTACGGGGGTGGGCACTGGGGACCCCCGGCTGGGGGCTCAGGTGGTCCTGGGGTGACCTCAATGTCCAGTGGGCCTATGAGGGTCAGGGGGTCCTGGAGTGACCCCAGTGTGGGGGTCCTTTGGGGCCTAATAGGGTCAGGGGGTCCTGGAGTGACCCCAATGTCTGGAGAGCTTGTGGGGTCTCACAAGGTCAGGAGGGACACAGGAATCTGGGGGACTCTGGGGGTCTCACGGGGTCTGGGAAAGGAAGCTTGGGGACATCAAAGGTGACCCCAATGTCCCTGTGGGGGCTCATGAGGTCAGGGTCACCAGGGGGTCCTGGGCCAGTGCCTGGTGTGGAAGGGGGTCCTAGTGTGGGGGTCCCGGGCCTATTCTGGGTTTGGGGGATCCCAGTTTGGTGTCCAGTGTGGGGGTCTCAGGGTAGTTCTCAGTTTGGGGGTCCCAGGTGGGTTCCTGGTGTCTGGGGGGGGCGTCCTGGTTTGGGGGTTCTGGTTTGGGGGTCCTGGTGACTGCGGGGGAGTCCCAGTTCAGAGGTCCCATGTCAGCTCCCGGTTCGGGGGTCCTGGTTCGGGGGTCCCGTGTAGGGGTCCTGGGGCAGTTCCTGTCTTGGGGGTCCCGGTGTGTGGGGGTCCTGTGTCAGTTCCCAGTTTGGGGGTCCTGGCTGGGATCCTGCTGTCTGTGGGGTCCCATTCGGGGGTCCTAATTTGGGGGTCCCAGCCGAGTTCCCGGTGTCTGTAGGGGTCCCAGTGTCTGTGGGGTCCCGTTCGAGGGTCCTGGGTCAGTTCCCAGTTCAAGCGTCCCTGTTTGGGGGTCCCTGCCGGGTTCCCGCTGTCTGTGGGAGGTCCCAGTTCAGGGGTCCCGGTGTCTGTGGGGGTCCCGGTTTGGGGATCCCAGTGTCTCTGGGGGTCCTGCTGTCTGTGGGGTCCCGCTCAGGAGTCCCAGTTTGGGGGTCTGGGTTAGCTCCCAGTTCTGGGGTCCCAGCCGGGTTCCCGGTGTCTGTGGGGGTCCCGGGTTAGTTCCCGGTTCGGGGTTCCCGGTTCGGGGGTCCCGCGGCCCTCACCCGCACTCGCCGGTAGTCGCACAGCAGCTCCACCTCGAAGTCGGCGAGGTTGCGGCGGGTGACGCCGAGGGCGCGGCACCGCACGCGCTGCAGCCGGCACAGCTCCTGCAGCTGCGACCACGGCGACAGGCAGCACACGGAGCACTCTGGGGTGTCACCGGGGGAAGGGACACACCGGGGGGGGCACCGTGAGGGGACAGGTGACACCACAGCCCCCCCACCTCACACAGCCACCCCCCGGCCTGCCCTGCCCTGCCCAGCCCAGCCCGCGCCCCTCGCTCTGTCGCGACATGCAGCACACGGAGCGCTCTGAGGTGTCACCGGGGGAAGGGGACACACCGGGGGGGGCACCGTGAGGGGACAGGTGACACCACAGCCCCCCCTCACCTCACACAGCCAGGGACAGGTGACACCACAGCCCCCCCCACCTCACACAGCGCCCCCATGGCCTGCCCTGCCCAGCCCAGCCCGCACGGCTCGCTCTGTCGCGACCACACGACAGCGGCAGCCCGGTGGGGTGGACACCGGGTGGGTGAGGGGACACTGGGGGGGGATTTGGGGACAGGACAGCGCCCCCCCCCGTCCCTCACGCTCTCCCCTCCCCCCCAGCGCGGGAAGCGGCGCCGTCCCCTCAGAGCGCCCCCCGCCCCCGTTTTCCCCCTCGCGCTCCCTCGGAGACCCCTCGGGCCCGCCCCGCCCGCGCCACCTTTTAAATTTTCCGCCATTTTCAGCCGCCGCCGCTTTTTTTTTGTCTTTTTCCGCCTTTTTCCTTTTTTTTTCTGGCGCCGCTTCCGCCCGGCGGGCAGCGCGAGGGGCGGGGCTTCCTCCGCCCGCGCCCAGCGCCCATTGGCTGAACCGGCGGCTGATTTGCATACTGACGGCTAGCTGAGCGCCTTCCATTGGCTGACGCCGTGATTTATTTGCATACTGACAGAAACCCGCCCGTTCTCTATTGGCCGCCGCTCTGCTTCATTTGCATAATATCTGATCCCGCCATTGGTCGTCCCGTCGGTAGATTTGCATATCAATCCCAGCAGCACCCGCGACGCCTCATTTACATACTGGCACCAATTGACCGATTCCCATTGGCCGCGGCGCTGCCTCATTTGCATAGCGCTCCCAGCAGCCCCCGCGCACGGCTCCGATCCCGAATTCCGCCGTTTTTTCCCCATTTTCTCCGCGGTTTTCCCGGTTTGGAGCCGCTGGAAGGACCGGGATCCCCTGGGAGCCCCTCCCCGAGCCGCTCCATTCCCGCTTCCCCTCCTCATTAAACGGTAATTAATTAATGAATTAATTAACGAGGCGAGCGGTCACGTGACTCCTGCGTTTATTTGGCATCTGCGGGGTTGGGGGGGAATTGGGGGGTTTTGGGGTAATTTTGGGGTTTTGGGGTTTCTTTGGGGGTTTTTGGAGGAGTTTTGGGGGGATTTGGGAGTTTTCGGGGGGCTGTTGGGGTTTTTTTGGGGGGGGGTCTCACCCGAGGAATGGATAACCCGGCTCCGTTTCTGCATCACGTCCATGAGAGCCCCCACGAGCCCCCCCGCGCCAGGACCCGCGCCCACCTCGGGAGTCTCAGGGGTCTGAGGGGGGGACACGGGGGGGGGAAGGGGTCAGGCAGGACCCCCCCTGCCTGCCCCTCCCCCACAAACACCCCAGAAATTATAACGGGACCACCCACCCAAAAAAACAGGCATGGAAGAGCCCCTCCCCCATCCCATGGGGGTCTCCCAGGTCATGGGCCCCCCCCTTGGACCCCCCTCCCCCTCACACAGCGTCCCACCCCCACATTTGGGGGTCCCAGGTTTTTTTGGGGGTCCTACCCCCTTTTTCGGGGCTCCCATTGCTGGTTTTGGGGTCTCAGACCCC